AAAAAAAAAAAAAAAAAAAAAAAAAAAAAAAAAAATCCCAGGAATGATTCTGTCACCCCTGGCTTATCTCTCCCAGGAAAACCAACCCCAACTTTACGCTCCCAAACGTGGGTCCCCAAAGCCCATTTCCCCCAGCCAGGTCAACAAGTGCCGGAAGTACAGATAAGGTTGCCCTTCCCGCCCGGAATCTGTCCCGGAGGGCGGAGATTTGGAACACAGTCCAGAAAGATTCTTCCTCAAGATTCCTAAGACAGACGCTAGCGCGAGAACCCTGTTGACTGGTACCACAAGAGCAGCGCGCGATCGGCCAATAGCTCAAATGGGGCAACTTTTAATGGTGATGCCACGCCAGGGCTAGAACCACAGTGGACGTGGGACCAGCCAGCCTCTAGGCTCCCGGGTTCGGATCCCTCTCCCGCCACTCACCCCGGAGTTACACCCCACGTCGAGCCCCAAGATCGGCCTCGTCTCAGGACCATCGGGCGGGAAGAGCTGTCGAAGCAGCTCCGGGGGCAGGAGGCGAAGCCGTTGTTCCGGAGGGTAGAAGTGGGAATAATAAGGGAAATTTCCAAAAGGGGCAGCCCCAGGTTCCAGAACTCGCCGTTCTTCCTCTGCCTGGGCGTCCTCGCTGCCCCCTCCGAGCAGCTTCCCCCGCGCCGCCATTAGCCTGAGTCCCACCTCCGGGCTCGGGCGGAAGCGGAAGCGGAAGCTGGGCATCTGGGGCGGTCCCGGCGCCAGCGCGCCTGCGCCGAGTGGCGGGGAGCTTGGGTAGCTGTCGTGTGACAGGGAAAGCTTCCGTCCCCGAGCCGTTGCTGTGTACCATGCGCTGTGCTGACGGGCGGGCCTGCGTTATCTTGTTGAACCCTGACCACCACTAGGAAGGGGGTTAGCAGTGTCATCCCTCTTCTCAAGGGGAGGAGGCAAAAGCTGAGAGGTTAAGTGTCTTGCGCATGCTCAGTTTGAAACGCGCCGCTTGACCAGAATAAGTAGCGGGTTGGGATCGACTTAGGTCTCACCCTCACCCAAGTGCGTAAAATGCGACCCGGAGAGGAGAAATTGTTTATGGTCATATAGTGAATCGGTGACACAGGAACTTGCACGTGGTTCAAGGGTAGGCAGGAGCACCACTGGAAGATTGCCAGAGATGGACAGGTGGACATGGCAGCTGCAGACTGTTCTTGAGAGGAAGGACTATGCCCTAAGAGTTTGCACTTGAAGAGTGCTTACAGGCACCCTTGTAGACCCTTTATATGTATTAATTAATCATCGCACTAAACCGGTAAGGAAAGGACCATAATTAAGATTCCTTTTATATAGATCAATTCGTTGAGGACATAGCAAAGTAAGTTACTCAAAATGGCACAGAGATGGTAGTATAGGATCTGGACGCAGGTGCTTCGGCTCCAGATAGTGCTAGTAACGTGCTTATTCTCAGCCTATAATTTTCTGTGCTCACCCTAATGCCCCCACAAAGACGCTCAACAAATACTCGCATGGAAATAGCTATTTGCAGGTCTGCTTGGGAAAAATTAAAATGAAAGGGAGAGAGATGCCAACAGAAAGAGACATTGTGGAATGGAGGTATGAAAGATGTGGGCTGGGCCAGGTGTGGTGGCGCACGCCTGTAATCCCAGCACTCGGGAGGCTGAGGCAGGAGGATTGTTGCGAGTTCGAGACCAGCCTAGGCTACAAAATGAGCTCAAGGCCAGCCTGAACTGCATAGCGAGACCCTGTCTCAAAAAAGAAGGGGAGGGCGGAGTTGGGGATTTAGTTCATCGGCACAGCGCCTACCCGGCAAGCGCAAGGTCGTGAGTTCAATTCCCGGTACTGGAAAAAAATAAAAAATAAAGTGTGGGCTGAGCTAGAGAGATTAAAGGGAAAAAAAACTAGTAAAGAAAGAATCTGAGGAGTCCGTTTAGGCAGCACATTTAAGTTAGAAATCAGCATGTCCTGGCATCTCCAACTGGGTCAGCACAAGTTGCTGACCAGCCCTTCTTACAGCCCTTCTTACAGGGCCCTTTTGCTACATAAGGCAAGCGATCTGCTAAACTTGGACTAAAGCATAACTCTTGTAGACGGACCATCAGGGGTTAAATAGACCCTATCTCTTGCAATTTTTACTGGCATGTGCTTTCATATCTCTTTGATTTGCTGTTTCACTATTTTCTTATAAGACTCAAGGACATAAGCCAATGACTAAAGGTCACAGTGGAATGAATAAACCACAGTGTTCTGCACAACTTCCAGAAAGGGAAGGAGAAAAACGGCAGCGCTTGTTTCGCTTTCCAGTTTTTGACAGGATTTTGGAGCGCCGAGCTTACCCCTTTTTGTCACTAGATGGCACTAGCATAAACACTTGATTGGCCTCAGTTTTCAGAGAGCTGCAGTCGCCTTGCTTTCCTAAACACTTTGTTTAAGCAAGCACTTTTCTTTCTTTCCTTCCTTCCTTCCTTCCTTCGTTTCTTCCTTGTTTCCTTCTTTCCTCCCTCCCTCCTTCTCTCCCTCCCTTTTTTCTCATATTTTTGGTTTTTTGAGACAGGGTCTTGTTATGTAGTTCAGGATGGCCTTGCACTCACTATGTAGCCCAGCCTGGCCTCCAATTTGTGACGATCCTCCTGCCTCTCTGCGTCCGGAGTGTTTTCAGGCACGTGCCACTATGTCTGTTTTTTACATTTTTTTTTGTTTTTCTTTCTTTTTTGTAGTACTGGGAATTGAACCCAAGGCTTTTACACTGAGCTGTATCCCTCCTTTTTTCTTTTCTTTTTTCTTTTGAGACAGGATCTCATTAAATTGCTTGAAGTTGCAATCTTCTTCCCACAATCTCCCGCGATGCTGGGATTGCAGACATACGACATTATGCCTGGATTTTTTTTGAAATGCCCATAAAGAGTTTCATTTCATTAAGGACATGGGCGTGATTTGAATTCTCAAAACACTTCACCAGCAGAAAGATAGGTGTGTCACAGGCCCAAACGGCATTAGCATGTTCTTCCTGTTCGTTGGGGGTTCCTCTGGAAACAAAGATTGGTATAGGACGGTAGTTACTGGCAATCTAAAATGCTTCAGAGGTGACCATATACAGAGGTGATTTCTAACTTGTGCCATTTTATAGATCCTTATCAGCCCAGATTACCTGATAATATTTAGCTTGTGGGCCGAGGGTATGAGTAATAAGCACCAACACCTCCGACAGTTATGGAAACACAGGGGGCTGGGGGTATAGCTCAGCGGCACAAGCGCCTGCCCCTCAAGTGCAGGGTCATGAGTTTGATTCCCGGTACCAAAAAAAAAAAAAAATTGAAACACAAGCTTGCTCTGCATTTCAGTCTGGCACGTTTTGTGGAACCTAATCCTTAGGCAAGTGCTGGGAGTGGTGGCTCACTCTTGTAATCTCAGCATTTGGGAGGCTGAGGCAGGAGGATCATTGCAAGTTCCAGACCAGCCTGGGCTACAAAGTGAGCTGAAGCCCAGTCTGAACTCCAGAGCAAGACCCTGTCTCAAAAAGATGAAAGGAAAAAGAAAATCCTTAGGCAATTCCCAGGGTGAGGGGGGTGAGAAAGGGGTGTCTTCACACACAAAAATTACAGATATAAAAGTAGGTATGAAAGAAAATATGTGTGATGACAAATCACAACAAATTGCAAACTTTGAAAAACGGACATGGATCAAAACACCAGATAAAGTTTTGACAATACAGTGGTTTTGTAGCAGAAAAGCCCCTGCACCCCAGTATACTTCAGTTGCCCAGTTCCTGTTACTTCTGTTTTTTAGAAACCCCTGGTCATTGTGATACATAGCTGTTTCATATGATGCATATTTTAAGAATCAATCAAAGACAGCCAAGTACTCTTCTTCTTGCTTGCAACCCCATAAAAACCTCCCTCCCTGAGCCTTCAAGTCCTGACATTATTAGTTTTTTTTTTGTTTGTTTTTTTCCGGTACCGGGAATCAAACTCACAACCTCGCGCTGTGCCACTGAGCTAAATCCCCAGCCCCTTAACAATTTGGTTCATAAGCATTTGTGTTTTTTTTTTTTTTGTATCAGGACTTGAACTCAGGACCTTGGGCTTGCCAGGCAAGTGCTTATACCACTGAGCTATATCCCGGCCCAGCCTGACATTTTTATAAGGATTGATTCTTTGTCAGTGCCTCTTGACAGAAAATAAATCTGCCTCCAAATCCTGGTCAATAGGTAGGATAAAAGAAATAAAGTTCAGTAGAAAGGAGACAAGGAAAATAAAAAATTTTAAATTGCACTTTTAGGAAAAACTACAGTTTGAGGATGCAACAGTTCCTCAAGCCTCTTTTTTTCTTCCAAAAACAGTTCTTCAAGCCTCTTTTTTTCTTCCTGGGCTAGGGAAATAGTTTGGTGGTACAGCACCTACCTGGCAAGCTCAAGGTCCTGGTACAAAAAAAAAAAAAAATTCCTAAGGTTCCTAAAGATACAAATAAGCCTGTAAATTGGGCTCTGGGCCTGTGCTTGTCACCTGTACTGTGCTTCTTCCCACAGAACTGTATTTTCAAGGAAGCAGCAATATTAATGGACACCCTGTCCCAACTTCAAACACATCTGGATGGTTTGTATTCTAACACAGAGTAATGTGGCAGAGGAGGAATACACATTCCAGCACTGGGGGAACCTGCTACACTTCAGGAACTCTTCTTTTTTCTGTCTTTTTTTTGACACAGAGTCACACTGTGCAGTTCAGGCTGGCCTTGAGCTCACTTTGTAGTCCAGGCTGGTCTCAAACTTGCAAAGATCCTCCTGCCTCAGCCTCCGGAGTGCTGGGATTACAGGTGTGCACCACCACTCCCGGCTCTTAATGAAAACTATTCCAGGGGCTGGGGATTTAGCTCAGCAGCACAGCACCTGCCTGGCAAGCGTGACATCATGAGTTCAATTCCCAGTACTGGAAAAAAACAAAACAAAACAAAACAAAAAACCCAGAACCATTCATACTGGCAGCTGAAACACAGAGGGACAATACTCAGAAAATTCTGAAATGATTTCCAGTCTTTCATTGTACACACAGCCAAATGATTAACTGCAAAGAGAGAGTGAATATATTTCCAGACAGGCAAAGAGCCACAAGCATGGTCTTCTGTAAGCCTTTTCTTAGGAAGCTACTGGAGAATGTGCTCCACCAAAATGAGGAAGAAAACTGCAAATCGAGGTTCATGGAATCTAGAAAGCAGGTTTGCAGTAGAGGAGAGTGGTGGAGGGATCCCCAGGGTGCAGATGTAGAGAGAGGCCTGGACAACGATTGCTCAGCTGAACTTCGGGTGACCAGTGCAGGTAGGGGAGTCAAGACTCTGGGAGAGAGGGTGTTAGTGTTCGCGGACTGGGTAGAGACCAGCCACGTTTTCCAAGGTCTTGTTGTCACAGTCAGTGAATTGATCTGGGCTATTGATGGATGCGAAAGATTACCATGTATTTTAGGGCAGAAATGAGAAAAAGAAAAGAAAAAGGGGAACTGTAAAAGAAGTGCTCAAGGAAAAAGGAAGCTTGGAAGGAAAAAGAAGCAAGCAGAACAGATCACGACAAGGACGAGCGGGCAGCAGCCCCAGCGTCAGCTGCTGCTGTCCTTTTACGTCTTCTTTGACAACTGAGCTAGGTGGTCTCACTTGATTTCATGTTAGAAGAGTGCTCAGGCCCCAGGTTTGGCGTGTTCTGGTATCAGAAGATTGGT